ATAGCAGGGCAGGCTGCATTCAGTTGGATACTGACCAGCCTAGGTTGGGGGGGGTCCTGATTTAAAAATGTGAAGTAGGCAAATAGAAGTACGTTATCATTCCCGAGGAGATATGGCAATTCATAGATAATTTTTAAAAAGAAAATATTTTCAGAAGAATTGGTTCGTCTGTGTCTTGGAGAGATATGGTATTTAAAAAGTGAAGGAATGTATATGCCAAAAATGTCCCTAGAATTCTAAACAAGGACAGTTTCACTGCACCTGAAAACTTGTTCACCTCAGATATGATCTCAAAGAATATTTATTCTAGAGGATTAACAAGCTTTAAAGTAAGACTAAATAAATTGAATATGAACGATACTAAAGAACTGCTGGAGCAGCTAAATAATCATGACCTATTTGTGGTGGATGCTCGAAGAATCCAGAACCGCCTAAAGACGAAAAAGGAATTCGGTAAAGATATAAAAATAGAAAGAGGTGTAAGACAATGATGCATCTTCTCGCCGGACTTATTAAACATATACAGTAAGGTAATTCTGAGAGAATTAAAAGTCCTACCAGGATTCATCATTGGGGTCCATAATCTTAACGACATAAGATAAGCAGATGGCACAATGTTGATAGCAGACAAAAAAAGAAAACTACAAGAACACCTACAGAAGATAGTGAAAGAAAGCGTGAAGAAAGGACTAAACATCAATTGCAAGAAGACAGACTGCATGTTTGTTAGCAAACGGAACAGTTCAACAAGCAAATTACAAATTGTAAATAACAAAAGCAAACAAGTCCAACACTTCAAATATCTACGAATTTTAACAGAAAGTTTGACACTCAGATCCGAAGGCGTATTTGGAGAGAGAACGATGCTTTCCAAAGGCTAAGCAAAGTATTAAGAAACAGAAAAAAATTCCGTTAGAAAAAAAGAAAACAGTACTTAACTGTTACGTAATATCGGTCCTTCTATGTGGCCATGAATGCTCGACAATCTCTTCAAAGATAAAGAAGAGACTTGAAGCAACAGAAATGTATTTCTACAGAAGGATGCTGAGAATAACATGTAAACAACGACGAAGTTTAAGAGACAATGGAAATAAAAAGGACACACATAACATCAGAAAAAGATAGTGGAAAATTTCTAGAACACATAATGAGGAAAGAGGGTTTAGAAAATCTGACACTCACAGGCCAGATTGAAGTCAAGAGGGACAGGAAAAAACAACGTTAAACCTACCTAGAGAGCTTGAGTAAATGGATGGCGGAACAAAGTTTAGAAGAGATAATAAAAAGATAAAATTTATTAAGAGTTACAAAGTACAGGAGATTGTAGAGAGCCATGATCGCCAACAACCTGAAGAAGATATCGTCAATTGCATTTCGAAAGTTGTTTATATTTTTATTTTCCATACAAGATATTTAATCAGGTAATTTTTGCTTTAATTATCTGTTTCTGTTTTATAAATTCTAAGTTTTAGTCATAACAAATAGTGCATTATATTTCACATTTTATGTATGAAATGTGTTTGTCTATATTTCTGAGATGAGGTATTATGTACATTATTTACATTATCCGGACTATTGTCCTCAACTTTGTCGCCATATTTATTACAACGGCTCCGGCCTTCTTCAGGTGATTGAAATGTCGAACTGAACCCTTTATTTTGCTCACTGGGTTAGACTGTTCTAGTTCCATGTGCCATGTTTAATGGATGTCAGTTATCAGTTATCTCCTGTTAATTTCCCTCCGAAAGGTCTCCACTGCCTTAAACGGGTATACTCTTTGGGTCCTATCACTGGATCTATCCAACGCCTTTATCCACTGTGCCATGTGTCCTTGGGCGAAATAAAGGGTTCAGTTCGACCTGAAGAAGGCCGGAGCCGTTGTAATAAATATGGCGACAAAGATGAGGACAATAGACCGAATAATGTAAATAATGAAATGTGTTATATAGGAATAAAATGTCGCTGCCGACACTTGAGTTTGAACATAGATCGCCAGTGAACAAACACAGGCGATCCCATTATTGAATTAAGTAACCATAGAGGAAAAACATAAGTGGGAGGTAGCATTTGTCTAATGGATCTACATTTCTCATCTGTCATTACATGGATCGCATTTCTATTCTATCCTCTCTTACTATATGGGCTGCTATTCTCTACTCTCTTCACTATACTATTCCTCTATTCAAATCACTACGGATTACTGTTCAAGTGAGTATTGTCGGGCAACTACTATTATTGCAAGATAATTCAAAGGCGTCTGACACCAGCATTGAACAATGGCGTACTATAGTTATATCTGTGATTACAAAGTCTCTACTACAACGACCATTGCCAAAGTGGCAATGAATGTTTGTTGACATCACATGTATTTGCAGGTTCATATAACTTAAGGTTATAAAGTGTTATATAAGAATAAAGTGTCGCTGACAACACTTGAGTTTGAACATAGATCGCCAGTGAGCAAACACAGGCGATCCTATTATTGAATTAAGTGGACCAC